CTAGCCTCTTAATTCATCTACATTTGCATCAGAGGGACTAGTCCAAGGTAGGTGGGCCTGGTCTTGGAAGGAATAGGAAGGAATTCCCACTCTACCTCTACCACAGAAGTTTAAATAAAGGGTGACTTTGGATGGCAAAAAAAATCACAAAGCTGAAATTACTTCAAACTGGTTATGACAGTCATTTGTCATTTGCTGTATGATTCCTAGATTTGATTTATTTTCATTTCTAGTAAGAAATTTTGGTCATAAAATAGTGGAGCAGATATGGCTATATTCATCACAAATGCATGTATTTCCCAATTAATTAGAGCACCTAACTTAAAGTGGTTTAAATAAATAGGGGTTCATATTTGTCATATGATAAGAAATCCAGAGTAGGGCAGTTGCTGGCATTGACTCACATATCTAACAACTTTGCCAGGGACCCTAGCTGTCTTTATATTTCTGTTTTGCTATTCATAACATATTGGTATTAATTATTATGCTTATCATAGTGTTATGGTTACAAGATGGTCACAAGACGGCTGCCAGAGCTCCAGATACCACATTCGTGTTCAAGACAGGAAGTGGAAAAAGGCATAACTAAACACATCTGTGCTATTTTATATGTAAAATAAAAGCTTTTCCAGAGCCTCCCAGAAAAATATACCTATTTCATAATCAGAACTATGTTGCATGGCCAACTCTAGTACAAGGGAAGCTGAAAAGTATTTAGTTAGGTACACAGCCAACATAAACAAAAACCAATATTTTTTTAAGGAAGAAAGAAGGGGTATATAATAGATATTGGGTCAGCAGCTAAAAGCACCTGCAACAATGGCATTTTCCCCTTCCTTCAGAAATCACACAGAAACAACAAAAATGTAAAACATTTATAAAAACTTGATATTCAACAAGACTAGGAGATATCTATAACCCTGAGTCACATGAAAAACTATTAAACATAATCAGGGTATAACCATGAACATTACCCAGGACTGACCAAACACCAAGCCCTACTAATGGCTGCATTTTTCAACAAAGCTGCTAGAAGAGGAAAATTTTAAAGTAACAGGCATATTTCACAGGGAAAAAAAAATCAATACTATTTATTTGAAACAAAGAGAAAAAGTGTGCTGGATAGAGGTAAGAGACTGCCTGTACAGGCATCTATGCAATAATATAATACATGAAAAATACCACACTTTCTGCAGAACTGCACCAAAAAAACACAGGATTTACAGAGAAAATAAAGTTGTAGGGTAGACTACTTAAATTCTACACAACTTTGTCAAGAGAGCACTAATAAAATTAAAGCAATTCTAGTAAAATACAAGTATGGTCAAAAAGACATATTAAATGAAGAAATACTACATTAAGAATAGGATTTTACCTTAAAAAGGTGATGGTATCTTGTTAGAAAGAGGTGTATGGAAACAGTAAGGCAAGCATAGAGGTATATCATCATCAGAAGTTCAGGTGGACAAGCATTTTCACACTTTCCAAGAAATGCAGTGATAGTGCAAGAAATACAAAGATGGTTCTTGCGTAGAGAGAGCCTCTGCATGACATTGCAGCAGCTCCTCAAAATCTTCACTCTCAACTTCTTCAAATCCAACCTCCTTTGCAAGAGCAACACAACCTGCTTTAATTTGGGGGACCTCTTCTGAAGGTTCAAAGCCTTTAGAATCATAAATTAAATCAGGGAAAATCTTATGCCACATCCCACGCCAGCAGACTTTTGTGACATTCCAGGCCTCTCTAATAATATCAATTGTAAGTTTAATGTTGAATCAATTTCAGAATTCAAAAACTGTGTGTGCAGAATCACCTCCTATAGATGCAAAAACATCTTTAATGTTACCCTTAAATAATAAGTTTTAAAGGCTGTGTTCACACCCTGATCAAGGAGCTAGAGTAAAGTAGTTGCATTAGTATATATGTATTTTTATTGAAGTATAGTCAGTTTATAATGTTGTGTCAATTTCTGATGTATAGCATAATGCTTCAGTCATACATGAACATATATATATTTGTTTTCATATTCTTTTTCACCATAGGCTACTACAACATACTGTTCCCTACACCATATGAATTTATTGTTTATCTATTTTATGTATATTAGTATCTGCAAATCTTGAACTCCCTATTTATCCCTTCCCACCCCCTCCTCCCTCCATAACCATAAGTTTGTTTTCTATGCCTGTGAGTCTGTTTCCGTTTTGTAAATAAGTTCATTTGTCTTTTTATTTTTTTAGATTTCACATATAAGTGGTATCATACAGTATGTTTCTTTCTCTTTCTGGCTTATTTCACTTAGAATGACAATCTTCAGGTCCATCCATGTTGCTGCAAATGGCATCATATTTTTTATGGCTGAGTAGTATTCCATTGTATAAATATACCAGAACTTCTTTATCCAGTCATCTGTTGATAGACATTTAGGTTATTTCCATGTCTTCGCTATTGTAAACAGTGCTGCTATGAACCCTGGGGTGCATGTAAGTAGTTGTATTAGGAGGTAAAAAAAAACTTTAATATTTGAAGAAACTTCAGCAACTGCTGAAGGATGGCTTGGTGTATTACTGAGAATTTTAAGAATTTTTGAAGACAAAATGTTCCCCTTGCAATATTTTTTAAAAATCACCTACAAAAACATGACCTAGAAGGAAAGTAAGTATCTGCCCTGTCATCCAGCCTCTCTTGATAGACTTAAAGTAGACACCTAGGCTAGTCTTTACAATTCCTTTAAAAGCATGTGGATTGGCAGAGTAATAAATCACACAGGTTTTCACTTTAAATACCCATTGGCATTTGCACCCAGCATCACAGTTGGTCTTTTGTAGCCTTAAACACCGGCGCTTAGGTTTCCTCCTTCAAGATATAGGCCCTTGCTTTCATATCCATCACTCTAGGAGACTTATTCAAAAAAAATATTGCTGCAATTTATGTCAAAAAGTGTTCTGCCTATATTTTCCTCTAAGAGTTTTAACAGTATCTGGTCTTAAATTTAGGTCTTTAATCCATTCTGAGTTTATTTTTGTATGTGGTGTTAGATAATGTTTTAATTTCATTCTTTTACATGTAGCTGTCCAGTTTTCCCAGCATCACTTATTGAAAAGACCGTCTTTTCTCCATGGTATATTCTTGCCTATATTCAGTTTCTTGTAATAAACTATAATGGAAAAGAATCTAAAAATACATGTGTGTATACATACATGTATATGTATAGATGAATTACTTTGCTGTACACCTGAAACTAACATTGTAAATCAACTACACATCAATAAAAAATAAAATAAAAAAAACATACATAGGCCCTTGAAGGCATTTGCTTCCAATAGAGGTTGGTTTCATCAAAATTACAACTTGATCCAATCAAATTGCTTAACAAGGGGGAAATGTCTTTGCAGCTTCTTCTGCACTCACTGCTTCACCAGAGAGCCTAACATTGTAGAAATCACAGTGGTTCTTGAAGCCACTAAATCTGTCACTACTTGCACTAAATGAAGGCACTTATGCAGGATTTTCCACTTTCTTCTTAAGGTTTTCATATATTGTTAAGGTCTTCTCTTTAATTTTGAGAAAAGTTACCCCTGATTGCTTCTTCATCTGGTATTCAGTCCACACACGTCACAAATGTTCCATTTCTTACATTTCCTTATGCCTTGTTCTAACAGACTTTGAAGCACTGGCAGTTGTTCTAGCCAGATAACTCTTTTATTTTCCCAGCATTGTCTCTAATCGTTTGTAAAGTTGACTCTTTTACGCCAGTTGCATGACCAGTGTAACATGTTCTTTCATTTCTTTCAAAATATTTTATTATTTTGAGCTTTCTTCACTTGTTACATCTTTTCTTCTCTTACGCTCACTAGCAGAAATTTTATCACAAGCATGCCTCTGTGACACTTGCAAACCCCCTAACTCACTCGTTTTCTGGAATACCAAAAAGTTTGGCAAAAAATACACCAGAATGGGAGGGAACTATGCAAATAAGCACTTCCAAAATAGAGACTGGGGCCGAGCGCCAAAAGGAAGAATGTGGAGGTGAATGGGCATTACATACAGTACTGTTATGTCTCACAACTTGCTGCATTCAATTATAGACGTATACTTTGCATTTAGCTGCCCTTACTTGGTGGCCCAAAGTATCAGCTTTCTGGGAAAACTCATGTATGAGCTTGCACAATTTCAGTATTATGCCAAGTCATTTCCAAATTTACCAGCTTCATACGGAAGATTCTGCATTCCAGAAAAACGTGTTTTAACAGCTCAGACTAGATACATAAAATGTTCATATTCAAAAAGAGTTCAGATAAATGTACGGATAGTATCATTATAGAAAGGTTAAGAGTATTTGGCAATATCCATAATGTTCTAAAATTACTGTCATAGAAAGCAGTATACCCTCTTAAAAATAACCTCAAGTGTAATGGTAAAGACAGAATGCTAGGCTCGATATACCTCACATACCAGCAATTTCAAGTACGGGAAAGTATCTAGGAAATGATGCAATTAATTCTTCAATGTACAGATGAAGACATTAAAGCCCAGTTACACAGCTAATTAGTGACAGAAACTATCCTAGATCCCAGATTTTATGATTCACCATTTCCTGTTAGTTTCATTAAATTCGGCTACTTCTCTATTTGTCTCTCTTAGAAGATGACTCCTTATATTCCTACAGTGATTTGCTTCCATATATGGTAAAAGTAGTAGGTATCATAAGAAGAGATGGCTACTTTAACCTCACAGTCACTAAATAAAATACTGTTTCCACTGGTAAGCAATAAACCAAGGTTTCCTATTTGGTTAAATCAGTTACTTATTAGGATCAGCTATTATTTACATGAAAACGGTTAGCCGAGTAGCATGAATTCATTCATCGACATCCACAATCAAATAATAATGCTCAGAATCAGAATTTGCAGCCGTAAGTGTGAAGCTAATCCCACTTCCTCCACCCTGGACTCAGATGCTCAAATTCTCCACAGAAAACAGCATCTCTAATTTCTCACCTGCTGTCTAGGTTCGTCAAGCTGTCTCTCTCCAAATCTTCCAGCACAGTCACCACCTCCTCTCCACTTTCAGGATGATGCTCCGGAGCCAAGCCTGGAGCTCCTCAGGCAGGAAGGTCAGCAGCTGTTCCAGCACCAATTCCAGGCTCTGCTCCTTGGTGTGTCTCTCTGGGCTCAACCACCGATGGCAAAGTTCCCGGAGTTGGCCCAGCGCCTCCTGGAGCCTGGGATTCCCGGTCCCAAATATAGCCTTCTTCTTTAACCTTTACTTGGATAATCTCCCCTGGTTCCTCGGAAGCCTGGCCAGCCAAGGCTGGGAGGGCCCTGGGGGATGCTGCCATCCTTAGCTCAGCCCAGAGGCAGGCTCTCTCCAACTAGGCAGATGGGTGGTTTTACTCGAGGTCCCCACCCAACCCTCGGTCAGGAAAGTTTCCAATATAAGAAAACACAGTCAACACAGAAAAATGACAGACGCAGCTCAAAAACTTTATGCATCGGTGACAAAGTCAAGGCACTTGAGCCAGCCCACTGAAAGCGAAGCCATCTTCTGACAAGACCGGAAATAGTGAGCCCAGAACTACTCACTAAAGCTGCAGGGTTACTTGCAAGACGGAAAATGGAGGCCCCTTTGGACCTAAACAAAGCCTGGATACTCGAGGCTTGGCGAGGAAACCAGAGCGGTCTCTCTGAAAGCGCCGCTCCCTACAGGCCCGGGCAGAAAGGGCGAGGAGGACGAGGGGCTCCTTCCACACCACGCACGAGCTGTCTGAGGAGGACGCCCCATGGTCGCCGCGCAGACACCCTTCCCTCAGCCGCCGCTTCCATCTTTGAGGAATTCGGACCCTCTCACGCCCAGCCAGAGAAGGGGGTCAGAGGTAACACTTACCGCGCAGGGAGTTGCTTCCTGACGCACCAGCTTCAGGCTCCAGCACATTCCCGCCAAGCTCCGGGCGCTGAGCTCACTTCCGGTCTGCTCTAGGATTCCAGGCGGTGCAATCGTCTCGGTGGTCGGTCGTGGTACCCAGACTGGCGAGCATGCGCAGGCAAGGCCTCTGTAAACCATACAGAGACTTAACTCCAGAATTACCGAGTTATCTCTCATGCGGTGAAAAGAATTTCACGGTGTGAGTAGCGCTAGGGTAGAGGCTGCTCTGGGTTTTCTTGTCACGGTGATAAATCGTCACTGGTTCTCAGACCCACGGTACTCAGATGTTTTGGTCCTGTTGAGAGAGTGAGTTATAGCTTCGTGTGAAATCTGTATTAGCATGTACAAAGCTGCTGCAGAGCAAATAGTGTGATAAAATAGACACTCTCTCGAAAGAAGGTGGTCATAGTGGCACATTTAAATGGTGTTTTATATTTAGCATTTTTTCCATCATTACAGTTCTGTATGTTTGGGCAAATACATTTTTCTGAAACTAGGGACAGGGGTTGGCTCTATTATTTCAGAAGCCAGGGTAATGATCAGAGAGAAATTGGCAGCAAATCGCAGAATCTGATGCCTCTTATTTATGGCTGGAATTGTCCCTGCAGTCACCTGAGATTAACTCTTAAGGTTGTGCCTTCACCATGAGGATAGATAGTTATGTTGAAACAATCTGTTCTCGACTCTTTTATTGGCCTAAATTAGAAATCCTAGGGGATAAAATCTTTCCGTTTACTGACAAGGGGTTCATCTGTGTGCTGATGAATTTTAAAGCCCTTGGTGGTTATTTTAACAAGATTTCCAGCTAGAAAGTTGAACAAAAACTTCCATCCCCGAGTTACCAAAGGTTTAGACCACAAGGGAAAGCTAACCAAAGATTTTTCTTTTCTCATGTAGCTTTCCATAGGTGACTCTGTATGCTTAGCAAAACTTCACCAATCTGTTTGAAATCTTGTCTGGAATGTATCACATAGTTTTAATTCTGAAAATTTATAAAAGCTATTTTTTTTTGACAGTTGGGAGTGACATTTCTTTTCAGTGAGTTATGAAGTGATCCCTGTATCATTTGCCTTCATCTCAGGTTAGACTACTTTTGTGATCTCCTTTGTTGTTAGTAGCCTGGAAGATGAGTGTTCTGCTACAACAGGCTAAAACATTTGAGGACACATCCTCACCTCAAAACTTCTGCTGCATGACTGTCTCACTTATTGACAGTGAAGTGAGAGATGTTTTTAAAATGATTAACTGGAAACCTTAGGAAATGGTGATGACCAATTTTAATGAGTTTCAGCATAGGTGTAGTCCTAGAAGGTATCTATCCCAGAAGATATGATAGTAGAGTATAGTATTACATAGTTTTTGAAATTCTATTGCCCTTCTCTTTGAAACAACTAATAACACACATGACTTTGTAACCATGGATTGCTTCTCTCTCTCCCTAACATATTCTTGGCACCTTTTCTCCAATACAGATACTTTCAACATATAATAATAATAACAAAAATCTTTTCATAAGTTGATAGCTCTTTTTACAGAGTGAGGGTGATACTCATAATTCAGGCTCTCATCTTAATGGAAAAATTTGATTGAACAATTGTGTATGCCATTAGGATATCACAATGCTGCCATATAAAAAACATATTCTTAAATATTTGTGGGCACTTGGTTGAGAATATTTGTAGAATAAGTTTCTAGAAGTGGAAACCTCCATCAGATTATATATGCACTGGAAAACTTGACAGATGTTGCCAAATTGGCCTTTAAGAAGGTGATACCGATTTAACATACCATTGATAGATGTTTTATTCACCCTGTGAACCATTTATCCTTGTCCTTTATCCATTTTTTTCCATGGGATAACTGAGCTTATATTTTAATTAATATATAAGTTTTTTTCACATACCAAGGAAATTATCATTTTGTCCTTGATTGCATATGTTTTTCTCCAGACTGTTGACTTGGTTTAGAATATTTTTTTTCTGGTACAAATGTTTTCATTTTTATGTAATCAGATTTATCAGTCTTTTAAATTTACATTTTCAATCTTTTTTCCTTTATGATACTAGGCTTTGTTTCCTGATTGGAAAAGAACTCTACACTCAAAGATTTTTATACATGTGTTTGTGCCTTTGTTCTTTTGGCACTTCTATTGTTTCATTTTTAAATACCTAAATCTTTGATCTTCTGGAATTTATGTTTTAGTGCAAGAGGTGAATTAGAATCCAGCTTATTTTTTAATGCTAGTTGTTTTCATGCCACTTACTATGATTGATATGAAATATTACCTTTGATGTACCAAACTTCTATTATATTTGTGTGTAACTCTGGTTTCCCTATTCTTTCTCTGTTAACAAGCTTGATAGTCCATCTCCAGCAACAAGCTGCTTTCATTATTGTAATGTGCTTTCACAGCTTGTATTGATCATATTGACATATTATTAATAATACGTGTGTATATGGAGGGAAAGTGTAGGGACTTGGTGAAAACTAAGTAGAATTTTATAGGTTACTAAGCTCTTAATCCTGGAACCTAGTTTTTATTTTTGTAAAGTGCTTCTCTTGGTCACCAGTCCCTACGCATCTTCTGAGACAACACACTTCAGGCATTCTTGTGTTTCTTCACTTGTTCTTACAACATTGTGTGTAGATTATACCTTTTGGACAAATGAGTCTCTGAGATATTGGGACGGCTATAAATCAACTACAAAACCTCAGACTCCTGCCCTTAGATACATTTAAAAGGTTAGTGCCAAGAAAAGCTATATTTTCCACATTCATCTGAGCATTAGAACGTTTCCTACAGAGGAGGACGCACTGGTTATGGCTAATGTCAAAGTATAAGAACAGCATCCATTTTACACGTTTTCCATTTTGAGTGAGAGAACCACTATGCTTTCACAGGGCATTAGGTGAACTACAAGCTAGCAGATTTCAGGAGTCCCTAGGAGGGTCAGTCATGAATGAACTTGTGCAGATGACTCTCAAATACATTCAGGCTTCCTGTCAACTTTGCTGAAGTCTTATCAATTGTCAATGTCAGCTTTGAGGGCAGCTTTTTCCAGAAGCATTCTCTGGTCTGTGGGTCGGGAATCATCGCTTCCTCCTCTGTTTTCCCATCACCCACGTAGCCTCTGTTACAGTTCTTTCCTCTTTGGCCCTGTGTTCTGGCATGTTTCCTCCCTTTGATTATCAGTGACCAGAGTTTGGTTCTCCCTGAAAGGCTTGTTGATGATATTCAGTCATTAAATGCTTTTCTGATTGGATGGAATTTTAAAACTTCTAAGTGTTGAAGATTCAATAAAAATTATATTAATTTCCCTGTGGCAGCTGTAATATGTTACTGCAAATTTTGTGGCTTAAAACAATACAAATTCCTTCTCACGCTGTCCTGGAACCAGAAGTCCAAAATCAGTATCACAGGGACCAAATCAAGCCGGGCTGTGCTTTTTCTGGAAGCTCAATGGAAGGATTCCTTTCTTATCTCTTCTAGCTTCTGGCGGCTGCCGGCATTCCTTGACTTACAGCTCTGTTACTCCAATCTCTGTCTCTGTCTTCACATTGCCTTCTCTGTATGTGAAATCTCCCTCTCTCTCTCTTTTAAGAACTCTTTTGGTAGCACTTCAGATCCTAGTCCAAGACAAGGCCCTTAACTTCACCACAACCGCAAAGACAATTTTTTCATTTACAGGTTCCCAGGATTAGGACTTGGTATCTTTAGGGATATTATAATACAGGTTACTATAGATATATGGCATCTAATCTAAGGAAATATGACAATATTTTTATGTTGAATCTGTTCCTCTATTTGAAAGTGAAGGTCAAGGGAAAAGACAGCCTCCATGTTGACAAGGGCTTGGTAGTAAGAAATGAAGACTATGTATGTGTCATGTTTATTGAATATAATTTACATTCAATAAAATGCTATCATTTTAAGTTTTCTAATACGTTTGATAAAGTTATACAGCCACATGAGTACACCTACTCTCAATGCATGGAACATTTTTATAACCCCACGAATGTTCCTAGTGTTCCTTTCTTTAAGATTTGCTTTTTGTCATTGTAAATTCAATTCCTCTTTTCTAGAGTTTCATATAAATATAATCATACAGTATGCATCTCCGTTCAGTGTACTGTTTTTGAGAGTCATCCACATTGTTGCATGTGTTAGTAAATCATTTCCTTTTATTGCTGAGTAGCATTTTGTCCAACCTCTGATGACGGACAGTTGAGTCGTTTCCAATTTGAACCTATCATGAATAAAGCTGCTGTGAAATTTTGTATACGTCTTTGTCTGTTTGTTTTCCCTTTGTGCACTCTATCTCCCTTTGATTTTCTACAGTTTCAGACAGCCACGCATTGAAATGGAGAGACATGGGCAAACTTAGTAATAAATGTGACAACGTTTGTAGAACTTCCTGTCTTTCCTGTTTCTATTACAGAGACACAGAGTGTAGTCACTCCAAAGAAAGAATCCTACCTTTTCAGTTAGGATTTACTCTTTTAAACTAACCAACAAGACAGTAGATCCATTGAGGAAACAAAAGTAATTGGAATGAATGTGAGAGCTTGCAAGTATAAGCAAGTAATTATCTGACTCAATCACAGGGGGGCTAACCTTAATGGGATATTGCTTGCTAAATTAAACTGCAGGGAATCAAACATGTAAATCTAACCTGAGATGTAACCAACTTTCTAAGCCATAGAAAGTTCAGGCTCAATTAGCGTTCTTTGTTCTCTCTTGCCACAGAACACTTAGAAGAGCCCCTAGACAGATGGTGCTACTCCGGAACCATCAGTCAATCATATGGTTGATTCTATTTCATGCTGCAAGTGATTTGATGATGGTTTGGAAGATCCACAGTCAATGAATTCTCACAGGTGCTTATCTCAGTGGTTGAGAGACTATCTGAGGCTAATCCTAGCCTCACTTCTAATTTATGCTCTAGCCT